TCAGGGTGGCAGAGAACCTTCCATCAGCCACTGGGGCACTGCGGGGTGAGCGTGGGACAGCCCTGGGGCCTCTCCTGCCATCAAGGGCTCTCAAGGGAAGTCCAGACACAATCCTCAGGACAGCAATCCTGGCCCGGACTAATGATGTGCCAGCTTCTCAGCAGACACCGTGGCCACTGCAAAGGTTACAGCTGATGTTGCTTAGGTGATCCCAAGATTATAATTGCTTCTTCCTAAGGCCCTGGCACCTTGGAATGTGACACTGGACTCAGTCACCCAGCAGCATGACCAGAGCACCTGCAACAGGAGAAAATATCTGAATGTAAGCTCCAGAGGTGGTTTACTGTACTTTAGAGTGCATCTCCCCCCCCCCCCAAAAAAAAACCACCTTTCCCCTGTCTTGCAAGTCTTAGGCATCCAGTTGTCTCTGATTATGTCAAGAAGTCAAGAAGGGACCCTCACCTTCCAAGGGCTGTGAAAGGAAAAATGCCAAATGATGGCTGGTTTCTAAACATCTATCGTCTTCCCTGACTGCTACATACATACAAGAGGATGGTATTAAGAATCTCAAAAATGGCGTACCTTTCTGCTTTGTCAACTGCCTTTATAACACCTTTGCCACCCTCTCTAAAAAGAGAGATCCTTTCCTGTCCAAGGAGACCACGAGCCTGGCAGGCTCTCCTTCCAGTGTGGCAGAGCTCCCTCAGGGGGCTCACGGCAAGGGCACCTTTCTCCAGGGGACCTATCTTCCCCCAGGTCCCTCTTGTGACACAGCAGCTGCCCTTGCTGGTGGGTGCAGTGGCAAGGAAACTGAGGGAGGGACAGGCGTTAGCGATTCTGCTCGCTCTGCTCAGCTCACTCACTCCATGCCATCAGGGGGTGACACAAAAAGCTGCAGAGTGCTGCTGCTGCCCATGGTGGTGTGGGCTGGGAGCGCAGGTGGCACTGCCTGTTCTCGCCTTCCTGGGCTCAGGAGAGCCAGACACTGGTATTTTTTCATAATTCCTCCAATTCAGGCTCCGTTCACGTCCCCTGAACACCTCAGTCACTATAATAAGCTTCACCAAAACTCACAAACAAAATCCCCAAGAAAGCCAAAGAAGAGAAGCACAGCTTCCTTCTCTGGGCTACATGCCACCTCAGAACACCCCGACCTTGGCAGGTATCTGGTGGACGCTTATCTCCTCACTCTTATAATTTGCCTCTAGGATGCCGCCTTTATAATTGTACTAAAACAATTACAGCAGCAGCATCAAAAGCCAACTACCTGGATACGACAATAAAGCCACTTTTAGTCTTGGTGTGCCAGCTAGGTACGCCAAGGCTGTGCCGAAGACATTTCCTCAAATTTACTCCTCCAGCTTTCAATCTTTAGCCAGACCTAAATAACAAAGAGGGTAATTGTATCTTGTACAAAAAATGGAGAGAACTGCTCTGGGGGAGATTAGCAAACATGTAAGTGGAAGAATAAAGGGAAAACTACAGACTATACAGTTTTCTAATTGTGGATTAAAAAAAATAAATGTATATTTTACACTTAGCATTTTTTTAAAAATTAAGATGTGTAATCAGTGGCTCCAGGTCTAGCATATTAAGGAGAAACATCCGACTTCTGGTTTTAATCCCAAATTCATTTGCTTAGTACATTAGGCCGGGCCAGTGTAATAGTCTATGCGATACAGCTCTGCACGTGGGCAAGACATGGAAGCCGCTACAGCGACCGCCAGCCTGAGCGCTACTCCCAGCAGCTAAGCTGGCTTCCCAGACCTTTGGACTGTGCGCTGTGTCCTGCCCTCCTCCATGCTGGAGGTGTTCTCCTAGGTAGCACTGTGGAGAACGGGGCTTTGAAAAGCAACACAAATGCAAGAACGCTCGCTAACCTTGTCTGTGACACTTTCCTGGGAACTTCAGCGTGTAGGGACCCTAATGCACGTTTCCTCACCTGGTGGCCTGCTGTGTAGGTGCTGGTAAGAAGTGAGACCTTGTTTCACTTTCCACTGCCTGCACTGTCCAGTGCTACAGGCAGCAGTTACATGAGGCTATTTAACTGAATTAAAAATCAGTAAAATTACGTCGTGCTAGCTGTACTTTAAGTACTGAGTGGCCACATGGGCTGGTGGCTGTACCACAGTGCAGACTCAGAGAACGGTTTTACTACAATAGAAAACTCTTTTGGCTGCTTATACTCTACATACTAAGTGGCAGGTCACTTCATTCTCAATATTCTGTGGGCAGATACTGGCATAAAAATATCAAGTGGCCGAAGGACCCATGACAACTGAGTCCTAGAATTCACACTGACCTCTCCAGGACTGCAGGCTGCACATCTCCTTTGTTGGTCTGTCCTGCTCTGAACTGTGTCTGAATGTGGAGAGCAACTTACACAGGGCAGGGCTGCAAATTCCCTGCCACCGTGGCCAGCAAGCTGCCCAGGTCTTATCAGGAGACTTCTCAGTGTGAGTCACAAGACCACAGTACTTCATGTCTAAGCAGTCAGTACTCTATGGTATTGCTATCGTTGGAGATAATCAGCAGAAGGTAGCTGACCTCCTTAGCTTTTTTATTTTTTGTGTGCAGGGTCTCACTATGAAGCTCGAACTCATGACTGTTTTCAGCATCCCCAGCGCAGGGATTACAGGTACACTCCACCACGCCCAGACTGTCACCAGCTCAGTATGCTCAGGGATGGGACCCAGCGCCGCATGTGCCAGGGATTGAACCCTGGCCCCTGTACTTGCCTAAGCAGGTGCTTAGCCCACTGAGCTATCTCACCAGTCCTTGCTCTAATTTTCTTTGTGTGTCTTTGAAAATTTTAACGATTTACAGAACTGCAGTAGCTAAGAATTGTTCTGGTTAGGTCAACATTATCCTTTTACTCATTATGCACAAACAGCCCGAAGGATGGTAGGTTCAATGTGTTTTAACAACAAAGGCTTATTTTGAAGAAATAAAATGCAAATCTTAAGAAATGATCTAACACGGGGAACTTGCACGAGGGAGTGTGGTAACAGTGCCAACAGTAACAGTGAGCACACATACCAGTTCATGGCAGGCTGGCTCCAAGGGCTTCCCGCACATTATACAGTTTGAACTCCATCCTCACATCTTCCCAGGAAGCACTATCATGTTAGGAAGGAATTAGATGCCCGAGTCACCAGGCTGAGTGCAGGGCCACTACAGGCTGAGAAAAATGAGCCCTGCCTGCCTGGATTCAACCAGCCTTATTAGCTTTATTTCTAAATTCTGGGGACATGCTGTTTTTTTGGTACTGGGAATTGAACTCAGGACCTCCTGCTTGCCAGGCAGTTGCAAATCCCCAGGGCCCCTTCACTTAATTAGTATGCTTACCTTCTCTGTAGCTTTCCTTCAGTATTTTTTCTTCTCATTCACTGATGTAGTTTTGAAAGTATAAACACAGTCCTGTGACACAATATCTACGTAATAGCTGATACCAACAAAATGTAGTAGGCGCTGCGTGTATGTAAAGTCAGAATTCCAACCCTGGATCTAAGGGACTTACTAAAATAAAGTTACCCTTTACTTCATAACTATTTTCACTCTCAACTACTTGGATTTATTTTTACTAATTCCTTTTCAAGTCTGTACAAAGGGTACCACCATACATGTCAAAGAATTTGTAATGCCACTGCCAAAAGCTTTTTTTGAGACAGGATCTCACTATGTAATACAAGCTGGGTTTGCACTTGCTATGCAGCCCTGGCTGGCTTCCCGCAGTGATACTCCTGCCTCAGCCTCCTAAGTGCTGAGATTATAAGGGTGCACCATCATGCCTAGCTCAAAAGCTTGTTTTTCCAGAACACAAAATTTGGAGAGCTGTCAAAGGGACTTTTCCAAATTGATAGCTTACTAATTTGTTTTCTCTTTTGGGCAGTTCTACCTTCAAACGGTACCAGAAAACCAAAATTCACCATTTCCTTGTAACATAAATGAAGTCACAAATTTTTAGTATTATGCGGTTAAAACGCAAGAAAGCCTTTTGGGGGCCTGAGGGTGCAGGGTGGCTGAGAGGCAGTGGTGGTGGTGGGGAAGGATTGGACCAGACCAGACCAGACCAACTTCTCCCCAATATTCTGTTTTTGGTCTCTTAATCAACTAATAATGAAACTCTAGACTGAAGAAATCTAACCTAATTCAGTCACTTTACAAAGCAACCAAAGTCTAGAGAAGGTGACTTGCCCTAGATCAGAGCAAATTCATTAGAGCCAAAAGTGGAACCCACACTTCTGACTCAGCTCTTCCCACAACGGGAGAAGGACAAGGGCCTCTCCCTGCCCTCCAGGGCTCTGGCAATTCCCCCAGCGGATGCTCTCAGGTGCTGACACAGTGGTGCAGTGCGTGCACTGGGCACACCTGCGCAGTGCCTCAGAGGAATGTCACTTCGCGGCCACTGCAGATGCACACAGCTGGGACAGTGCCTGACTCTTGGCAGTAAAGCGCGTTACGCTGGGGCAGCAGTTTATGAAGCCAAGTGATCATGCAGGGTCCAAAGCTGCCAATCCCTTCTTATTCCAGAGACAGTGTGACAATACAACGATAAGCCTTAAAAAAAGAACAAAAAACTAAACCCTAGCCCTCTTTGGAATTAAAGTTACTTTGAAGAGTCAAACAAAACACAAAGAAATTGCAATTTATTTAAAAAGGGCAACTCCAGGGCATGCGCCCTGCTTCCCGTTCGAAGCTGTGGCCAGACCTGTTGACTGCATCAGTATCCGCACTCCGTTGAGCAGCCCGGATGGTTGGGTCCCTTGATCCCAAAGCACTCAGCAATCGCCAACAAACCAAGAGCTACACCATGTTAGAACAAAACAAGCACATTAGTATGTGGTTTTCAACCAGAACTGAAAGACAAAAAGAGAAAACGATTTTCTGGCTAACCAGAAAACTACTCCCTGAGCATCCCAACTGAGGTTGTGTTACAAGGAAAATGCTCTTTCTAGACAGCAAATCTAGTGCTACATAAGGAGAAACCACACCAGTCAAAAGAAAAGGTCTGCTCCCTTTAACTTAAAACATGAAGCTACCTTTTCACTTCTGGAAACAATATTTTTATGACATAGTCACACACACTGAAAACACTCAACAAATCAGTAATCTCCAGTTATTAACTGCTAGCTGCTCTTCATGTGAGTAAGACACCAGAACAGTAAATTCAAGTTGCATCAGCACAAAGCCTTGGCTGAAATAATACAGCAGCAGGATGCTTCAATCCTGCAGGGCTGCAGACCCCAGGATCCAGGGGTTCGGGGTGTCAGACACATCCAGGGCCCCCATGGGGGGCTCAGCTTCTGCGGTTGTATGAAGAGCTCAACGCCCAGTTCCGATTCCTGCCAAGTTGGACAGTGCATGATGTGTTCCAAGGCAGAGACACAGTCACACTTAATAATTCCATGATCCCAATGGAGGACTATTCTTAAAAGGAGAAACGGCTTAGCAATAGAAAACAGAAAAACCACCAAACTGTTAAATATGAGGTAAAAGACTTAATGTAAGAAGAAATAAGAAAAAGAAGTCTTTTTGGCTAAGAACTTACATTATCACTTAATCAAAAATTTTTAAAGGGGGGTAAAATAACCCCACCATTTTCCGAAATGTTACATTATAGAAATCAATGTGAACTTCACAATCCACATAAGAAAGTAAACTAGGGACTGGGAACTCAGTGGTACAGTGCTTGCCTGGTAAGCAAGAGGTCCTGAGTTTGATTCTTGGTACCAAAAACAAAGGCAAGCAAACTATCTTGGCCTCTGACAGGTATAGCAAGAGTCTGCAGTGCCGTCCCCATGAGGTCAGTATCGTGTATAGGCGTTTCGCTGCTGCTGCTGCTGTTGCTGCTGCTGCAACGGCTGTTGGGCTTGCTGCTGCTGTAGGCGAATCTGCTGGGAATAAGGGTCTTCCAGGGACTTCACAAATATGGTCGTTCTAGGGCCAGTTTTCCATACGATGCCATTAGCGTCCTTCACTGAGGACTCCACTGTGATGCTGTGCGTTCCCAGGATGGCGAAGTTCAAAAGAAACTGGGTGCTGAAGTAATCATTATGGGGCTCAACCCTCTGCTCCATCTCATTGGTTATGCTGTCAAGGGGTATCTGAAAGGAGAATGGCAGGACACCAGTATCAACTACACGCACCGACCCTGTGCTTACCTCGAGCCAGGCCCTGTTCAGTGTGCAAGTACCATTACGATTCTTGCTTCTGATGAGGCGGCAGGGGCAGGATGGCAATGCAGGTCCTCCAAGGCAGAGTGGGACGGACGTAGGCAGCCGGCTCTCAAGCTGCCCGCCCAACTATTCCAACCCTGCCCTCACTCTTGAGAAGCTGTTCCCCCAGCCTTTATCACCCCGCCCAGGTTGCCTCTCCCCCTGCGTGCTGTCCCCATCCCTTCTCTCCTCTGTGGAGAAGTGTGAAGAAACAGGATCCAACCACCCGTGTCAGTGTTTGAGACTGAAAATGCATCGGTTGGCTAAGTTAGGTCCCTGCTTCTCTCCATAGCTGGTGATTCCTTCCTCCTTTAACAACTCAAATCTAGAACCTGTACCTGGCTCACTCCAGGTCATGCCAACACGTAAGACTGACGGGATCATCCCCGTAGTCAGCAAGACATGCACGCCTCTGTCCTTCAGGGAAAGGGATGAAATCTGGTGTGTCTCCACCTCTACTCAAGATAAAGTGCATTAAGAGGCAGACTTATTCTGGAACCAATTCATGGTAATCTTACTTGATACTTGGCCAGACTGCTGTGTTTATGGGTGTGCTAGTGTGGTGCAATTATACTTAACAGTGCCTGCAGTTTTGTGGCTTTCTGAGCAGTTCTCATGGGGTCAGTCTTCCAGATGCATTTCCTTGTAACACGAACGGAGTCACCAATTTTTAAGAACTATTTGTGGTATGTGTTCTTTTTTATACTTCACATCTAGGTTTTGTAGGGTTTTTATTTTGCTAGAAATAGGATTACCAAATAACGTCCTCAAAGGGAGCAGAACAGGCGTGGCCAGTCTGATTACCCTGAATGGATGGCTGCTTTTGGAGGTGTAAGCTTAGCACCTTGCACGCTGCAAAGCACCAATGCGCTACCAGAGCTGCGATGCCCACTCCCTGCCCTGCACCGGTTCTCCTGAGAGGTGAGACGACAAGCAACACTTGAGGCTAGAGGGCTTTTTTTAAACAGAAGAAATTATTACATGCAAAGAACAAAGAGATTCAGGGATAGTGTCATCTCCAGCTTAAAGTCAGGAGAGAGCTGCAAACTGCGATAAACCGCAGAAATTCCCATTGCCCCCTCCGGTGACATCTGAGATCACGCGAGCAACCCTAGCAGCTGCAAAGTGCACAGCTTTTCATCATTCCCCCAAAATTTACCGAGTGGCTCCACAGGGCAAATGCTCGTGCCATCAATCAAAGGATGATGAGAAGAGAACCAAGCAGGAGCCACGTCACAGAGTGGGGAGAGCGCACCAGACACACGTCACAGTGGGGGCAGCCACGGTGCTTAAAGCGGTCCTTCCTTGCATTAAAGCCTGACGGCACTGCAGTTTAAAAATTCTGTCTCTTGCATCTTCATTGATAACCCTCCTCCTTGCCAGGAGCCATTTGCTCAGACATGTCTGCACAGCCTGCCCACACCCACCCTGGGCATCCACACAGCTCTGCCAGCACAAAGGTAAACTTGCTCTCTTGCTCCACTTACTGCGGACAAGCCACCAAAGAATCTGAAGAGAAGTCTGAAATGCTGACCACCCTATATCCAGCTGACAAGACTTGATTGTGGCTCACAGCTACCTCCTGACTTTTCCGCAGGGCCAATTCCTAGGGTCATGGACTTAAAGGGAGGTTTTCATTCATCTAACTACTGTTTTTTTAATTTATTTTTATTTTTATTTTTTTTCCTGAACTGGGGATTGAACTCAGGCCTTTGCACTTGCCAGGCAAGCACTTATTCAACTGAGCTATCTCCCTGGGCCCTAACCACTGTATGTTAACGCTATATACATAGAGAAGAATCCTCTAGAGGAGGGAGTTTTTAGTAGTTTAACCAAACTGGCCTTCAGGAGGGCCTGGCCTGATGGCTAAGTTTCAGGCTGGTAGGGAGCTGGGCACCCTCTTCTCTGGACATCAGGGTACTCCTCCTGCATGCTGGCCGAGACTGGGCCAGAAAACTCAACCAGAGGCTCCTGAGTTAGATTCTGCAGTGTGAACAGCAGTCCAGCTGGTATTTTGACCTTTGCCTGGATGCTGGATCTATGAGCTGTTCAGGCAGGAAGAAGGGTTGTTAACAGCCTCCTCAGACCCCAGTCTGTACCTGTAATTTATGTAACTGTCATCAGCTTAGCAGTGCCAAACAATGGAAAATGTCAGAATGATTCTGCCTCCTTGCTGAATTACCTTGTAGTCTTTTTTTTTTTGGTGCCTAACTCAGTTGGCCCTGTGGGTGAGGCTGGCATAGCATGTGGTGCCAGAGATCAAACCGCGGTCCACGCACTTGTCTAAGCTTAAGTTGGTGCTTTTAGACCACTGAGCTAACTCGCTGGCCCTACCTTGTAGTCTTGACCAGATTTACTCTGCAGTGTGGAAGAAACATTTAGGCAGACAGACTGGATTTTGCGAAAGAGTCCTGGTTTTGATCCATGTTGAACCACTCCCTCCACCTTCAGCGCCAGCTGCTGGTTATTCTGGACGGCAATGGGCTCTGCAGGGTTCCGGGGTGATGGCGACAGAGCAAGCTGGAATGCAAACACCTGGTAAATGCCAGCAACTAAGAGCGGCTTCCTTCTGACAAACCGTGCCAATCACATCCTGACGCGCTCATGTGAGTGAGTCTTTCCCCAGGACCCTGCTTCGGGCATACCAGTGTGAAGCGGGGTCAGTGTCACACTTCCTCACCCAAAGTCCTACTTCAGGTACACTGCACTTTTCATCCCAGGCCTCAGCTTTGTTGAAGGCAAACAAAGGGCAGAAAAATAGTAAAGGTGCTGTTCACCAGCTCACGGTGGACCATGGCTCTGCTGATGAACCACTTCTAAGCAGGGAGTGGCACTGGGTATATTTTCACATCCAGTTACTGTCTTTTTGCTCCTGGGGAATGTACTAAATTTAAATGGACATGAATGTAAAACTCTAGGGTTATATACACAATGAGGTCATTAAAATTTCTACAAATGGACTGTTTTTTTCCTAGTGCTGGGGATTGAACCCAGAGCTTTGTGTATGCTAATGAAATAGCATTTTAACCTTTCCTTAGAGTAGTTCTTTACAAAGCTATTAAAAATTCCAGACATAGTTTAAATACAGCAAGCCAAAGTTTTGCTAAATAAAAAGCTGGAAGAGATTGGAGTTTCCAAATTACACTGAACTGCTAAACCAGTTGACCCTGGAAACTTCTGGCTTCTGGTCTTTTTCTTTAGGTAATCAATTTTCCTGATTATTTATGACATGGAATGCTCTTCTTCTATCTTCAAGCAAAAGCATCTGAGTGGATGCAAAAGTTCACTGAAGACATTAACTGACAGGAATAATTCAGGAACTGTGTCGGAGTGGTAATTTCCTTTCTTTTTCAAATAATTCTATTATCTGAGTCAAAACTAGCTTTTGAATTTTGAGTAGTCTGAATATTAAAAAATACTAAGTATGCTCACTGGCTAGCTCACTGGCTAGTTCCCACAAGAACTGTCTTTCTCTAACATGTGGTGAAAGACAGACAGGTGACATCCCTTGGCCCTGACTAAGTTTCAGTAGGGCCTGAAAGGGCCACTCAGACTCAGCTCTAGATCTTCACAGCCGCTATGACAAAACCACTATCTTATTCCTGTCAGCAGGAGACAAAGGACAGGCTCCAGTTACCCAAATGCCTGACTCACTGCATGTGGCAACAACAGTTGAAAAGGTAGGAGGTTTAATTCTTAATTGCATTCCTTTCACCAAATCTCTTAATAAAGGAAGGAAAAGCCATAAACTAAAGGGTCTAGATTTTTAACAAAACCAAAGTTTAGATTGTGAAATGTAAGTAGGTCCCATTTAATCTCCAGAAATAGGCAGCTTTCAAAATTGTGTTAACCTCCTCCTTCCTAACTTACCTTGATGCTGGTAGACTGCAGTTTCTGGAAGAAGTATCTCTGGAACGACAAGGGAACTTTCAGCAAGGCAATGATGGCATTGCAGAGGCAAGCCGTGTGCTGAGGGGAAGACACAGAGATCACTTGAGAGCCAGCTTGCAGACTTCATCACCAAGTGCCGACTAGGGCTACAAGCTCATACAGATCATGACAAAAGCACACAGCAACCAGAAATGGACACAGCAGCAGGGGACGGTATCTACCTCATCCCTCATGCCAAGGGGGTACAACTTCAGGGTTTTATCTTTACCTGTATTCGATAAGAAATAAGAGAAGGGAGAAAATCCAAATTCCTCCCTGGGTGAATTTCGTACTTCTATAGACTGCAGAGCTACCAGACACATTAGGCACTCCAAAACAGATTAAATGCCACGTGGCAGGGCATGACAGAGTGGTAAAGAAGCCAGGGCAGTATACATAGACTAAGCCCAACACCAGACCCATGTGGGACCTCAGCTCTGAGCTGGCTTATTCTTAATCCCTTTCCATGAGCAGGTAGCTTCTTTGGTGGGTCCCCACAGTGGGCAACAGTGAAAACTTACCAGGATTCAGATTAAGGATGACTATACTAGCCTGCCTTCATAGAATTCTGAAACTTTATTTTTTGAGATAGGATCTTGCTATGTAGTCCAGACTGCCTCAGCTTCCCAAGTGCTGGAACTACAGGCATGTGCCACCATGCCCAGCTCTGAAATGTTAATAAGATACCTCTAAAATCTACTGCACATACTATTTTTTGAGAACTTCAGGCCAATCGCTGAGATACAGAAACATGACAGTGAATTAGAGAAAAGGACCATAGAATTTAAGAGTTCCAAGACATTTTAAAGATTACCCAGGCTAATTTTCCACTTTGCTGATGGCACAGGCCACACTTGGTAAATCAGACAAGTTTGCACAAGAACCTATAATGCCTGCCTGACTCTTTAGTGATTCTGTTCTATTTCATTAATAATTTACAAACTTAATAGAAAAGCACTAATGAAAGAAAAAAAAAAACCCACTAACGTATCGTCAGAACATGCAATGGTGGGAGTAAGAACCACTCCTGCTTGGACTCCAGTGACTTCTTCCTCTTTCCTGTTTCTATGTCCTCAAGGCACCGATGTGTGACCCGGGAGGCTGCCTGGCCTTCGAAGCTCCTGCTTCCAGGCAGAATGGGACTAGATGCCCAGACTCTAAACACAGCTTGCTTTACAAAAATTTTTAAATGCATGCATGTATGTATATTGGTTTTCTTTTTGAGACAAGGTCTCACTATGTAGTGCAGGATGGCCTCCACCTTATGGCGATCCTCTTGCTGCCGCCTATGGAGGGCTAGGATTACAGGTGTGGGCCACCACACCCAGCTTAAACATAGCTTTAAAACATTGGGTATTAAGGCCAAAAGCCAGAAAAAATCTCCTTTAGGTAGATTTTGTGTGCCCAAGGGACTCTCAGCATAGATACCAGGCAAGCATAACACCACTGTAAAGGCACTGGTCCTATTTCTCCAGCTTCTACTCCTAGAGCAGCACCACTCACCTTCCTGCACCAGGTGTCAGGGCAAGCACTTGTGGGAACATCAGGCCTGTGGCGGGGCTTGTGGGGCCACAGCAGACAGAAACATCTTAAAGGGGGTACTGAATGCATCATGAATGACTGGGGCAGCGGTGGGAACCTTTTAGAGCTCTGGCTGCAGAATGCCACACCACAGGCTCCTCACCACTGCTCAGGCTCTTTCCCGGCAGAAAACCCCCATGATGCCTTTAAATGAGGAATAGATATAGGTGCTACAGTGCCCTGCAGGTATATATGGACTGTTACTGAGGCTGTCGGCTGCTTAGGGACACCTCTGTAGAAGGAGATTACTAATTTATTTTGCACTGGGAATCAAACTCAGGACCTTGTGCTTGCCAGGCAGGTACTGTGCTAAGCTAGACCCCCCAGTTCTGTAGGAGATGACTATTACGTGGCACTCTGAAGGTGGCAAACTGCATACCATGAGGAAACAGCAAGGGGACGAATGCTCCTGCTAAGTCCAATAGCTATTTCTGTCTTTGTATGTTCTGACATTCTGCAGCAGCTGGCAAAGATCTTCCATAGATCCCTAACAGGCCCGGTGCCATGTTTATCTAATTCTCCTCTCCACCCCCTTTGCTAGGTGCCTCTGCTTGTCCTCGGTCCTCTGCTCTTCAACTCCCATGTTCTCCATGGGCAGCACTCCCTCCCCCAAGGATGTACAGAATGGCAAGCCATGGGGTCTGTCCCACCTGCAGCGTGGATCACCACAAGAGAGCCCCATGTCTGCAGACAAGACGTCAGCGGCTTCTGCCACCCTGGGCGTTCTACCTCAGTACATGGTCACTCAGTTGTGCCTGCAGTCATTTGAGCTGGAGACCTAGAAGTTTCCAGAAGTCATGCCTTCAACCTCACATCTAGTTAAAATAAAACATCAAGCTCTAGAAGTATTACCCCAACCCTTAAATATCTTTTACAGATATCCTCTTCTCATTCCTATGGCCATTTTATAATTTGGCCTTACTCAGGATTACTGCAAAAGGACTTTTATCCTTCTTTCCTCTAAATTTCAGGCCCTTACAACATTATGTTATGCCCACACATATTAATACGAATGCTTTATTTTCTTCACCCATTTAAAATTCAAAGACGGCTCCTCAGTACCTTTGGGATAAAGTCCAAGCTCACTAGTGCTGTATGATTCAAAGCCTTTTGTTGCCTGCTCTGCCCCCATTAGGCTGATCTATCTTGTGGCTGGCCTGTGCACACTGCGGCAGCCCTACACTGCTCCCTGAAGACACCATGCCATGCCACTGGCCACTGCTCTCGACAATGTTCTCTGCCTGATAGTCCTCACCCCCCCTTATCTGTCTGGAAAACTCACATGCAAAACTGTCTTCTCTCAGAGCTGAACTTCACCCAATTTTACCAGTTCTTTGACCTACCTTGCTTCCTTCCTTTTAAAAATGTTTCAGAAGCCATGTCTCATCAAGTTGCCCAGGCTGATTTTAAATTTGGGTCTTCATGCCTTAGTTTTCCAGAGTGCCAGGATTACGGGCACACAGCAATATGGCTAGCTGAGTCCCCTAGCTACCCAAACTTCTTAGTGGTGCTGCGGCCTGACGCTAGGGCCTGGCGCATTCCTGATGAGCTCAGGATCTCTTCCATGCGACATCGCTGTCTCGTGCAGAACTCTATCTGCTCGTGCGCTGTGTTGTTTATAAAAGCTTTCTGTCAGATGATGGAAGACCTTGTTTCTCTGTCAGTTTTATGTTTCTAGGATCCAATAATAAATGTCTGAGCATCCTTTAGGTGCTTACTAAGTACCAAATCTATGAAATATAATTTGGAAGAGAGAACGGGGAACTAAAATTTATTAACTACTCCTTCCATGGTAGAAATTGTGCTAGAAAATAAGCATTATTTACTTAAACTTAACAGTAATCTTAAGATGTAGGTAATTGTGCATTTCGAATAAAATGACATTAAGTAATTCGTCTGAAGTTGCAGATCTGCTAAGAGGCAGAGCTAGCGTCTGAACCTACTTCTCAATGAACCAAGGGCTCTTTTCTGTGTACTGTGCCTCCTGGGCAGACCCCTTTCCTTCTTGCCACTGTATCAAGGGGATTCACCAGCTGCAAAGTGAAGTTGTTGCCCGGTATATCTGTTTAATTTCTCAGGGTGGTTCTCAGCAGGATACAAAAAGTCACTTCTCAGCGAGATGTATTTCCCCCTCAGCTGGTCTGTACAACCTCCCTTTGCAGCCCAGCGGAGTGTCACACAGCTGTGTCCAGGACTCAACAAACACTACTGACAGTTTCACATGGGAAGCAGTGTTGTCACAGAGCATACCAACCCTTACATCTGATGAAGAACTCACCCTCTGACCTCCTCTGAAATACCTGACAAAGGGTGAGAGTACAAAGTGAGAAGCAGCCAGGACGGAGCTACAGAGCCCGCCCGCATCTACCACAGGGGCACGGGAAGCAAAACTTTCTCTGGTGCTAAGTTCAGAGGCTGATGGCTATGGACTCAACAACTGTCTCCTGAAGGTTTTTTTTTTGGCAGAACCGGGGATTGAACTCAGGCCCTTGCGCTTGCCAGGGTAGTGCTTATTCTACTGAGCCATCTCCCCAGCCCCTGTCTCCTGAATTCTTATGTGGAAGTTCTGATGGTTTACATCTAGTGTCTCCCAAGCTCTCCTGTGCTCAGAGGGGCTCCAAGATGCGGACTGGATTGAGGGAGCACTGTACATCTTGGTGGATTCACCCATGCAGGAGGTCAGCAGCTGTAGGTGCTGCTGGGTGGGGGGCCTAGTTAGAGGTGGGCACTGGGCTGAGACCCAGAAGGCTACAGTTTCATCCTGCTCCTCCCTGTACCTCAACTTCCTGCCAGTCAAGACTGGAGCAGCTTTTCTGTGGTCCTTCTACCATGCTGCTTCTGTGCTAGAGACTGCTAAAAGCCAAGCCCACATGCACCTCTCTTCCTTTTAAGTTGTGGGGGTAGGGTCCTTTGTTCCAGCCATGAGAAAGTGACTACAATAGCAGGGAAGAGAAATTCCCCAAGATACAAAGCTCAGTGCCTCAGTGCTAAAGATTTGCTATGGATTACAGGCACTGGGGAAGATATCTCAGTAGAGTAAGCACCTGCCTGCCAAAGGCAGGGTCCTGAGTTCAATCCCTGGTACTGCAAGAAAAAAAAAAAAAAAGGCTTTAATGTCTGTGTCTCTTCAATTTCACATGTTGAAGCCCTGCCCTCCAGTGTGACAGCAGTTGGAGGAGGGGCTGCCAAGATGGGATCTGTATCCTCTAAGTACAGGCTCAGTCTCTCTTCCTGCCACATGAAGACAGAGCCAGTCCATAGCCATCTGCTGTCCAGACTCCAGAAACACGAGCCATTGATGTTTGGTCTTTGACACATTCACCATGAAGCCACAATACGTTTGTCTCACATATCTTGCTGCCAGTGTAAGTATCAGGCATAATTTAGCCCAGCCTACCTTACAAGTTTTTGCAACACGCAAATTAGCCTGTATCTGGACAAAATCACCTAATATACAGGTTTTTTCATAAAACAACATTATTTCAGGTCGTTATTAACAGCCTATTGAAAGTGGAAACAGAATGAGATGTGGACCCACTGTTGAGTATGCTTTCCCACCACTGAGCAGCTGTGAGCTGACCCACTGTAAGTGTTCATTCCTGGGCTCCATTTCCAGAGAGAGACAGTTACAGGTCTAGAGGGGGAGCATGCATATTATGTTTTAAAAAGCTTCCCACGTGACTATACTTTGTCACTGAGGGTGAGAGCTATTCTAACTTCATTTGATCTCACAACAGTGCCACGTAGTAGGCAGTGCAGGGACCCTGTTCTCCAGACAAGGACACAGCGAGCTTAAGCTGAAGTAAAGCCCACTTGCCATGTATGAGACAGGGCTGTACTTCCGGTTCAGTGACTCCACCTCCTCCAAGACACGACTGTACACAGCCGTCATCCTCCGCTCATATTCACTGTCAGCATGGGCTGCTCCCGCAGACCCGTACTCCTGGAAACTGGAGGGAAGATCGGCATCAGTTTCTCAGCTGTTTCAGTGCATTAATTCTTCCAATTCCCAAATGTGTCAAGCACTTTACATGCATTGTCAATTAATTTTCCAAGTAATGGCTTTATTTCCATTTATAGATAAGGAACCCGAGGCCTGGAGAGGCTTACTTGCCTACATCTGTAACTAAGGGGCATGGGGAACTTGAACCCAGGCCAGACTTCAGATGAGGTAATCGTTAAGCTGGGGACTGACCCCTGGGCGTTGCACACCCTAGGTAGGCACTCTACCACCAAACTTCATCGTCAGGCCTTTTAATTTTGAGATGTGGTATTGCTAAGTTGCCTAGGCTGGGCTCAAACTTAACATCCTTCTGCCTCAACCTCAGGAGCAACTGGGAATACAGGCTCAGATGAGGTGATTAACCCCACTATTTGTTAGGTAGCATACAAGTATCAAAACTTGTTGCTACCAGGAGGTGGAGGGTTACACATTTGAAAAAGTAATTATCAACATCTGTAAGAATGTGTAGGGGTATACTGGTAAACAAAGAATTCTGGGAAGAGCTGAACCTACATTTCTTTCTTTTTCCTCTACTATTTCCAATTCTCTGATTTCTGAAATATTTCTAAGTGAGATTAAGAGCAACTTTTGCATCTTGACTAAATTTCAAAGTTTTCATGAGGACTACTTAAAATGTCATGTAGGTAATTTAAATATGCTGGGCATTAACACTATTATTCCCTTATATCCACTCAAGGCCTTCTCTATACAAGGCTCTTCAGCTGAGCACTTCAGTTTTTCATTTGATCTTCAAAACTATTCTCAGAAACAGGCCTCATTTTCTATAGAGTTTATGCAGGTCTGGCTCAATGAGATCAAAAGTATTCCCAGAGCAGTGAGTGATAATGGATCATGTTCACATCTGCCTGGCTCCAAAGCTCTGTTCCCTGCTTCACATCACATTTTAAGTTCCATGAGGGCAAGAAACGAAATTACTAAAATGGATCAGTAAGCAGAAAAATAAGAGCCAAGTGGTCTAGTTTGGGAGCAGCTAACACTTTCCAGCAGATGGCAAAAGTCGTAGTAGTGACCTGAAACAAAACGGTGAGTCAGAACTTTCAGGTAGAAAAACAAAGTGTCTTGCAGACAGCATTTCTCTGCAAAAGCTGCTCACAGAATCTGAGTCCTTATTTGAATAGAATTGACAGTAATACATATTCCAAAACACATATTTCTCATTCCAACAACATACATCTAATTAATGACTTCTTTATGACTTATCTTTCTTTTCACATGTACAGTTCTGCACATCTTGTTTATAGAGCTTCACTGTCTCTGCGCAGTATGCCTTGTTTATACACCTGTGTTGTACAGCACAGTGCAGCATTGCAGTTTTATGTTTTGTTACAATACTGCATGTAAGAGCGATCAAATAAAAGGTGGAGCTTCTTAGACTATTTCTTTGTTCTGAACACTGTACTGTACATACTATCTATGGTTTCTCATTTAGCAATGAATTCATTTAACAACCTAGTTTCAGGAATATTAATTAGGTTGTAATATGAGTTGCGCCTGTATGATATTCACTGGAAAAACAATGCAGCATTCACTTAGTCATTTTGATAATTAGTTACCAGAGCAGGAAAAACAATTTAACAGAACAATGCCAGAAATATCTTTTGGTTTGGAAAATCAAAATGAGTAAAATTTTCAAGTTCAAGCTTAACTATATTAACTCAGTATTTCCCAACAAAATTCAGTTACATAAGTTGCTCATATTCAAACAACTTCTTCCCAGTTATTTTTCCAATTCAATGTTTTGAAAATAGGAAGCAAGAGGCAAGGGAGACAAGAGAGAGAGAAAATTCATGCTTTGTCATTAGTTATGCAACCCAGGGCAAACATTTAGAAGAGTTCTTTTTTGTTTTTTCTTCTATAATTTCTTTTCAAAAACAGTTGTGATGAATAGTTAAAATACTAAATTTCCAAGTGTTTTGTGTGTTAACTATTACCTTGCAGATTCTGGATCCAAAATCAGGGCTTCTATTGTGTGAGATATCAGTAAGCAGCTCTGCTGCTGTCTGTATTAATGTTAAGGTTATACGTAAACAGCAGAAATGCACCATATACTCCACATTCTCTGAGTATTAAATAAGTCACGATAAGGCTGTACTTTTAGTGAAAGTAATCATGTTTTTCCAGTTCAATTGGTCGCAGGCTTTATTCTTCCCTTTTAAAGGCTACATGTTATCTTCTATGTGATCCTCAAATTGTCTCAAGGAAGTATTTCAATGGCCACTTAATAGTGGGAAAGAGAGGGCCAGGGAGATGGCTCAGTGGAATAAGCGCTTCCCTGGCAAGCGCAAGGGCCTGAGTTCAATCCCTGGTTCCGCCAAAAAAAAACAAACCAAAAAAAACATATATATATATATATATATATATATGGAAAGAGAAACCAGTCAAGAGGCCAGTGATTTATGCACAGAAACTCCTGTTTTTATCTGTTTTAGATCTACGGGCTTTATGAGAGTGTGAAACAAACAAGAAAACAATGAAAAGTTTTGTGATAGTTTAAAAAAAGAAAAAAGCCAATAGTCTGCAGAATCTGCGCTTCCATGGATCCTAAGCTAGGGCTCAAGAGGTCAAGTCCCTAGAAATGGTATGCAAATTTTGGGAGGTAGGTCATACATGCATTTTATAGTACAAATGACCCACACTTTCATTAAATTTTCATCAATAAGCCAAAATGCTAAGAACTACTGGCTGGCAAATTCCACAACTACTTCAAAATAATTGGATCTTTTCCTTCCCAAAACTGATTCGAAATTGCTGTAAGAAAATCTGGAGAGGGGCCGGGGAGATGGCTCAGTAGAATAAGGGGCCTGAGTTCAATCCTCAGTTCTGAAAAAAAAAAAAAGAAAATCTGGAGAATTTAAAGGGGGCCTAGGGGTCAAAACTGACGACTAATATTCCAAAAAGATCGTTAGCAAAGGTGATGAGAAGTTGGGTTGTTAGCCCAAAGGAAGGAGGCTGGGGCTAAATAACCTTTTCTGATGGAAAATGTATTGTGTTGTCTCAGCTCAAGTGAACACAAGGCCCACCACACTCCACATCAGCAGGAGTCAGCCAGTGTTTCTGGCTGTTTGTTTTGAGTTGCATTCTTGCTCCGCAGCCCAGGCTGGCCTGAGGGGCCCAAGCCATCCTCAGCCTCCGGAGGAGCAGCGGAGGCGGCAGGTGTGTGCCACTGTGCCTGGGCCTGCAGCTGTGGACGCTCTTCCTGGGGGCAGGGAAAGACCATCACTGAGTCACCACTTTTGGTATTTTTTTTTTTTAAAGCAAGATAGATTAGAATTATTCTGCTCATACTGAATTTCAAAAGGAAACTATTATAATAAACTTGAGGGTTATCTAATATATATTCTATAGTTATGCAGATCGCAGTAGTCTGTATTTAAGACTACTTCTCAAGAAAAAGAAATACTGAGGCAGGCTTAGGATACAGCTCTACATTCCTCAATGTGGCCGAGTCAGCGTCAAAAGATGCTTGATACAGATCTCCATATCGGGAAGCCAGGGCTCTGAATTCCTCCATGGAGTGTTTCATCTATGAAGAGGAAAAACAGCAGCAGTGACAAACATGCTATTGTTATTGCATCAGCTACACAAAAACAAACCACCCCCAAACAAAAATTCAAAGAAGCATTAAACTCCTATCATTCCATGTATTGTCCTAAACTTTGTTAAATACAATCAAAGAAGGGGAAATATTATAAATGTTCATTACATTTGAGTAATGTATATGGTGCATCTAGAGATAAAAACCCTTTGCAGCTTTTTCATGCTCCACTAAAATAATGACTACAGTTATAAGCACTCTAAAGTTTTTTAAAAATGTAATTTCATTCTCTTAGAGGGCATCAGTCACCAGATCAGTCTATGTGGCAAGCCAGGTGGGTGACACATTTGACACAATGGCTGAGTCAAACCACTGATTTTAACTTTCAGGGCTTTTCATTACACACCTAGCTCACACCTAACACCTCCAATGTAAATAAAAACTACAATGAAATGAAAGGTAGGACATACCTGATTGGAGATGCGACCACATCTCTGAAGGTCATTTCCTAAGGTCATGGCAATTGTAGTGGCAATTGCTGGGGGAGGGCTTGTCTTTAGGCTATTACAGGTACAGATGAGTTGCGAGAAGGCTTGTAGAAGATCAATCCTGAGTTTCACAAATTCACACTGAAAACTTAAAGGATTCAGTGGGGTACTGGCAGCCTGGAATAAAGAAGATGTTATGTGGTAGTATTTACATTTTACTCTACAAAGAAAGATTCTCTTCCCAGGTCCTTTGTAAAAACGTGCACTTGTCTAATGAAATATCACTTTCCACCTGCAACGGTCCATGATCAAGTGCATAAAAACTGCACTTAATGCTTACTTTATTAAGGTATTAAAGAGGCCATTTTCACTTCTCAGATGTGATTTGCTTTGCTCTTGTAGGGTGATAAAATTAATTTATTGCTTATCCATAACTTCAGAAAGGATGGGGTACACATAAGTATATACAATATTGTTACATACAGTACAGACCGTCTTACCAGACAGCACATACTGGCAGACTTTTTCTAACATGCACTATAAAACTGAAAGAGCAGGAGGATGAAGTTATGGGAAAGATGTGCTGCTATTCTGACTTATTTTTGACTAATAGGAAATATTTGACAGTTGATGTAAGACAATAACCTTGAAGGTGACTCTGCAGTCATGGGTCACATTAATACTGAAGGAAATGTACAAAAAGAACACAGAAAGCTTAGATTTGTGAGAGAGGTCAAAGGCTTTAGAAGACAGTATTACCCAAGAAAGACAGGAGATGTTTAGGAAAAATACTTAGATTACAAAGAAGAGAAATATAACATTACATGCAATGCAAAAGAAATATACAAGTGTATGCTTCCTTTTTTTTACATTGGGGCGCACGTTTTAATGGCAACTGGTTATGAGGTCAGCAGATGAAAGGAACAAGGTGTACAGTCAAAATCATCCTAAACATTCTTCAAGGAACTCTTTCTGGTTAGTGCAGGCCGGTGTCCCTGTATCAGACTTCTGATACCCCCTCTCTGGACTGAGCTGACAATTTGTGGTAAACATGAATGCTAGTCTCATTTTCTGATTTACAGTACATATTTTATTTTAAAAACAGAGCTAGCTAAAGAACCCAATGAGGCCAAAAAGAAAGCAACTTGATAAGCTCATTAAAAAAATAAAAAATTAAAAATTAAAAAATATATATTAAAGTACATGAAAACTTTGTCATCCTGTGTAAGCATAAATTTAATTGTGGCCAGGCATGGTGGTGCATGTCTGTAATCCCAGCCCTGGGAGGCTGAGGCAGGAGGACTGCCAGAAGTTTGAGGCCAGCCTGTAGTACATAGCAAGCTCAGGGGCAGCTTGAACTATACAGCAAGACCTTGTCTCAAAAACAAAAACCAAAAACAGTATTTAATTGTGCTAAGTACATTTACTTTGTGAAAGAGATCTCTTTTTCATCTTGCAGAACTGACACTCCATACTCTCTCTGCCCCGTGCCAACTAAGACTCTGGAGAGTGACCACCATTCTATCTTCTCTTGTTATGGATTTGACTATTTTTAAAAACTTTTTGGGGTGTTTTTTTAGTTTGTGCTGTGTTGGGAATTGAACCCCAGGCTGCACCCATATTAGGTGAGTATTCGTCACACCCTAGCTCCTCAACTCCTTTTACAATTTTTATTTTTAAGCAGTAGAACAACATTATGTCACTGTATTGGGAAATTAAATGCTTAATGCTGGGGTCCCCATACACACACTCCGAGCAGGCGAAAAGCATGGCCTGATAGTTAACTGTGGGCTCAAATTGGGTAGGAAATGTCTAACCGATTGGCCTAGCATAGTCTGAATGTGGCTGAACAGACCTATAGATGAAGGCTCACCTGGAGTGGGTGGCACCAACTAATAGGCTTGTAGCCTAGATGGAATAAAAAGGGAAAGGACAAGGAAGTTTCACTTTTGCTTCTTTGAAGGAGCTACAGTCCTTGACACCTTCTTGGACATTTACCTCAAAGCTTCCCGTTCAGACTCTTTGGGCCTCCTTTGGGTCCCAACACAGACTCGCACAGGACTCTGCAGTGAGCTCCAGGCCTTCCACCCCTGACTGAAGATTCTGGCTTTCCAGCATACAGACATAGATTTATAATAGTAAACCTTTGCTCTAGCAAACCCTAACTGATACATGTGGTCCTCAGAGCTTTCAGGAAGCTGAGGGACTGCTGCTGCTTGCTTGCTGCTTCAGTGTCTCTTGTCTGCTTGCCCTGGACTACTTCTCCTCTGTGACAGACCCCACATACCACCCACCACCCCACCCTGGAGTGAGCCAACTATGGACTGACTCTACAAACTGTGAACAGAAATAAACCTTTCTTTCTTATAAATAAAATAAAATAAAACAAGCAAGACAGTCCATGCTTATATGTATTCAAGGAAAGCTACTCCCAAGTCCGTACTTGGCAAATGAACAGATTAAACAAAAATCTTCAAAAATCTCTGACAGAATAATACAACCAGAGATGTGGGAAGTTTCCAAGGGCCATATGGATCATATTTCTCCTTTAGATAACTCTCAAGGACAGGATAATTTCCTTGTTTTTTTTTTTTGTCTTTTTTCCCCCTGTATTTTAGGGAAGGGTCTACAGGGTGTTCAAGGTCTCACTACTAGACTGGATTCACAGTGATTCTGCTGTTTACAGCCTCTAAGAGCTGGAATTACAGGTGTGTGCCAAGGGGGTGGGGCCAGCACTACAGGCCCAGGGATCGAACCACCAGCCCCTGCGCCTGCTTGCAGGTACTGTAATCCGCCGAGCTATTTGGTCAGCCCTTATTTCCTTGTTTTTAAGAGAGAAGGTTTCTTGTTGCCCAAGCTGGCCTTAAATTCCTGGGCTGAAGTGATCCCTGCCTCAACCTCCTGGGTCTTCAGGAATGTGCTGGTGTGCCAGCTCAAAGCACAGTATTTGATATATAGTTCTTAAAATCTGTGGAATATAAGAACTCTAATTTGAAAGAAGAAAATTTAGGCCCCAGTAAGCTCCCTCTGGTCATGCTGAGATGATGGCAGAACTGAGAGCAAGTCAAAGGTCTGCTGTTTCTCAATGAAGTGCTTTCCTCCTATGTTACAATTCAGTCCTTAATTACTGCCAAGCCTCATTAAATGCACATACCACAAATCGTTGTGAGTATTAAATATTCAACAGAATTTTTCACAAAACTTATTCCATCTGTTTCTGTGACCTTATTGGCTTCAGGTTTTCTTTAATCATTTATTGCACTGACTATAATTTTCTACTTCACCTAAATTAGAAAATCAAATAATTTTATTAATCTGAAGCAATAATTATACCTTTTAAATTTTTTGTGGCTTTATCAGCCTAACTTATAGAACAACAATCTTTCCCAGAATAATCAAAGGGAAAGAATCACAGCTGTCAGCGTTACCTTTTAAAATGGAGAGGAGGCTGGGTGGGAGCTCAGTTAGCTTGGGCAAGGGCCTGGGTTCCATTCACAGCACCACCAAAAGTAAAAAGGAAAGGGAGAGGGGAAAGAAGGTAGGTGGAAGAACGGGGAAATCCTTATGTATTTTTGTTTTAAACTGCCATTAATCAATTCTAACCCAAAAACAAAAATTATACTTTAAAAAAATAGGTGCTCCACAGTGGCCTTAATACTGTCTCTTCTGTGATACATACACTTGTTTTTCTTTGAAGCATTTCTTTTGGGATAGTCCAAAATTAAAGAGTTTAAGGCCAGCATGGTTGTGTATGCCTATGATCCCAGTACCTGGGAGGCTAAGGCAGGAAGACCGCTGTGAGTTCAAGCCCAGCTTAAACTACACAGCAAGACCCTGTCCAAAAAAAAAAAAAAAAAAAAAAAAAAAAAAAAAATTTTTTTTAGATATGTCATAAAAGGATGTAACAGGTACTAAAAGATTTATAGCTCTCCTCAATACATTTAATTTTTAAAGTTGTAGAACAATACTTTAAAAATGTTGATTATATAGCCTCTACAGAAAAAGTCCTTTGAGGAATGCAGAGAATTTTCATTTCAGGGAACACATTCTTACTCAGAAATATAAGTGATTTCCAGGAAGTAAGAAACACTAAGGATCTGGGGCCAGGGAGATTGCTCAGTAGAATAGCACTTGCCTGGCAAGCGCAAAGTCCTGAGTTCAATCCCTGGTACCACCAAAAAAACCGAACAAAAACAAAAAACCCCACTAGGGTCTCACCTCTCTGCAACTCTTACACTTGCTTGGAAAATATCAGTTGTAGTGCTGATTATTAATCTGAAAATCACAGGGGAGTAAAAAGTGGCACACTGTAATCCTTGATAATTCTCTATAAAGCAAGAAAGTATTGTAGCTGGGGATGTAGTTCCATGGGTGAGACTTCCCTAGAATGGGAACCCCTAAAACCACAAAAATAACTGAGACAACCTATTTTCCTAGCGAGTAGCTACCAGCTATGAGCTGGGTCAGAACACAATGGATGGAGGCCGTGGCTGGCAGCTTACTAAGAGGGACCTTTCCACACCACTGATCCTTTCCACATGGCTCCATCAATCCTCTCCACACACAGCACTCGGTACTTACGAGCTTCCATCATCTATGAACAGTAAATAGAGGAAGGCCTAGTTTATGGTCATGACCTTTTCACTTACTTTGATGTTGCTAAATATACATACCAACAGGGGTCTCAAGTTGTTAAGACAGGAAAACCCAGAAAGAGAAGGGAAAGAATTCCAACAAATTGCTGACCAAGAATTAGGACTTACTGTCAAGGAAGCAATCCCCTTGTGGTAGTACTTTAAAGCCTCGGCAATGCAAGACAGTGCTGAGCTGTAATTCTCCTCCTGCAGCCCAGTGAGGCACTGCTCTGCATGTGAGAACTCCTTCAAACTGTTCAGCCAGAAGTAGAAGTGTTCCGAGGCAACCTGAGTCAGCAGGCTCTGATAAAGCTCTCTGGCCATATCATGATTACCCTAAAAAAGAAAAAAGAAAGGAAAGAAAGAAAAAGGAGCAGAAAAAGCAGATGGTGAGGTTCTTACACTTGAAAGAGTTGATGTAGCAGGTCAAAGACAAACCCAAGCCCTTGATAAGCTTGAATAATCATTTCTCATATTACATAATTCTTTGGAGAAAATATGCTGAGCTGCTTTTATGTAACAAAATGCCAAAAGTGCTCTACCAAAAACAGTTCTAAAGAGAAATGGAATGAACTATTGCCCAGGTTTAGAATTTAGCCTACACTGTGAGAAGTCAAGTCACACATGCTGTGGGTCATTCCAGGCAAGCCATCAGTGTGGGAGTCATGTGGGGGAAACTTGGCACCGTTTAACCCCAGGGCCATGGATGCCCATGCACTGCAGTGCTGACACCAGGGCTAGTTTGCTGCCATAATCAGCGGCTCCACCGACCACCTGGAGGGTGGTCCCCAAGTGACTTCTGTACTAACCAGGCTTTGTACTTTTTCTCAAAGAAAGGTAGGAAAAACTGTGAGGCTTTCAGTATGGCTGAGGCAAGTATGGCACACAAAAACCTTCCTGTTTCTACTTAAGAATCAGAAAGCTGGACAGCAAGAAAAGCACCATGTGCAAGGAGGACAAAAGTAGTGCAGATGCAGCCTTGCTCTGGACAACACAGGGCAAGGTTCAGTGTGCGAACAACCTGCAGGAGGCAGAGCTCAGACCTTAGCTTCCTTACAGCACCACATACACAGCAAAACATGCACTATTCCCTTATGAGAAAGGCTAATAGGTATCTTTCTCACCATACCCAGAACCCGTAAGGGAAAGCACGTCCCTTTCATTTTAGGTTTGATTAGAGTAATAACAACCACAGAATCCAGGGCATGTGAACCAACACACTCACAGACCAGTCCCCAGAAGGGCGATGCATACCATCCTGGAGGCCTGCCTGGCGATGCGATACACGGTCCACCCATTGGAGACACTTTCAAGCTGCTGCTTAATCACGGCCTTGACTTCAGCAGACAATGCCTTCTGGCTGGCCACGAAAATCACCGTGGCCAAACTCACCTACCCATGACCAAGTAAGAAAAACAAGAACATTAAGTAGTTGTACCCAATGTCATAGCCAAACCAAGATGGAAAAAAGTTAACTACAGTCCATTTAAAAGAACAAAATGTTTTTTCCATTAACATTTAATTTTCATTTTGAGAAGTATCTGAGCATTCCACTCACGTAGAGCAGTTTATCAAATCTAATAATTAGAAACCATGCTCATAAATAATTATATAATCATAAAATAAGATACATTACCGTGAACCCGATAAACCAGATACACTTATCAATACAATGACTAACAAGGAAACTGCAACTAATTACTTATAGTATAACAGTTATGTGAAGTAAAAATATCTAAAGGAATATTGCATATTACCTTGGACTATATATCAAGATCAGAGAAGTATAACATGGCTGGGGATCAAAGACACCATATTCAGGACAGACTTTATCAGCTGAACTGGAAATGCTCTGAAATCTGGAAGTGCATATGCTTTGGATTTCTCAGCAGTTCAGATTTTAGATTTCTGGATTAGTAATCTAAAAATTCACTCAACTTAAAGTATAAAAGTTCAGTGTCAATTCTGTTTGACTTCATCATGCTCCTGGTTTTAGATAACAATTTTTACCAGATGATAGCTTTATTTTGCTTTTTAAAGTCAAAAAATATTATTAACTTTTTAAATCAGTGTCCACTAGACCACACCCACGTCTCGCAGCAAATGGAGACATTTGATCCTTACCAGAAGCTCCTGCTGCTTGTCCGTGGCTGAGCGTCCGATCACCTTGTAGAGCTCCACGAGGTCACCAAGCATCCCGTCACCCAGCACAGGCAGCTGCATGGCAATGGCTGCCAGGCAATGACACATCAGGACACGCGCAGCATCCTGGGCGCTGTGCAACTGAGTCAGCAAGGTCTCCACTACCGACTGGCTGAGGTGGGGCCTGCCCTTGGCCAGCTTCACCATGCAGTTGAGTGCAATCTGCACACCACCAAGAAAGCAGGCTAGTTACACTCTTGAAGTAATCTCAGGCTTTTAGAAATGAACTTTATAAAACTACTAAAAACACCATGGGTATGGATTTTTGTAGGCATAACATTTTTCTTCATAAAACCTTGCTAAGTACACTATGTTTAAGACAACAAGTCAGGAATACACATCAAAACACTGACTGCTCATTTCTTTTTCTTCTCTTTCTTTGTGGTAGTAGGAATCAAACTCAGGACTTTATGCTTGCCAGGCAGGCGTTTAAGCCACTGAGCTACCTTCCACTATTTTTTAAAATAAGATGAGATAAAACTATAAGGGATAATGTCGAAGAGGCATATGCCAAATACAATGTCACTGTAACTGTATTTTCATTATTTTTTAAAGCACTACTTCTAAAGTGAGGTTTATGAACTATGTCAGCAAATCCCTGGCAGGTGATAAAACAGCTGCCCATCACATCCCAAATTCATGAATTCACTTTTGTGTGCATATATGTGGAGGTTCCTGGGAAGCAGTTTTCAAAAGAGATCTTTGGTGATTCTAAGCCCGCTGAAGTGAGGCCAGGTTTCCACTTTTCTCTCTTATTTCTGAGCTGCAATCTAAAAACCAGCTGGCTGACCAGCTTCTCGCTCTCAGGCCTGGGTAATGAGATAGCCAATACTTCCCACCAACAGATTTAGAAACATGGAAATCATGTCACTTTTTCATAGGTAGCTGATTCTCCTGTCAAGTCTCGAATATCCACTGTTGGCTCCATGCTTCTACCATACCAAAGGCTCTCCCCAATTCAAATCTCTTGCAAAGATGTGCACATCAGTCTATCCTTCTTACCACAGCCGCCCAACTCTTAGGGTGGTGTCTGGGGCTCGTGATCAACCTCAGTCTGACACACAAAAGGCTGAAGTTCATCTTGCCCTTTATTAGCGAAGTGGCTTTGAACAAGTTATATGTATAAAGCTTTAACAGTGTGACACATTAACACATAATAACAAAGAATAATTGTAACTAAAGTTATAGCATATTTATTATTCTAGCATTTCCTCACTACCTGTAGAATCAAGCATGTTCCTTAGCACATATGATGTGCTCCAAGATCGAGCTGTACAACTTTTGCAGGCTCCTATGATGTTACCAGCCAGAGTGCACAGCTCACTGCTCTTTCAAAATAACAGGTATGCTTCTGCTTTCAAGTCTTTTATAACAAAGGACTTCTGAGCTTGAACAATCTTTCCTACCTACAGAAATTCTCATCATCTTTCAAGGCTCCACTCGTAACATTCACTCACTGCATAGTCCTAAAATCCTCAGCTCACCTCAATCTCTCCAACTCTGTCCAGTCACTAGAACTGCACCTTTGTTTGTATCACAGAGAATGCCCTGCATCCTGCTTGGTATCCCTTATATAATGTCAGTATCCCACTCTACATGGAAAGCTCCTCTAACAAGTAACATTTAAAATTATTCACACATGTCCCTGAGTCAACTCCAATGTTTTACTAAAATCTAGCATTATTTGTAAAAGGATTTTTTTTTGGTGTTATCTGCTTTTAATTTTTTTAAAAATTTTTTTATTTTAGGAAACGGTCTACAGGGTGTTCAGGGTCTTACTACTAGATCGGACTTGTAGTGATCCGCCTGTTTACAGCCTCCCAAGAGCTGGGATTACAGTTGTGCATCACCATAACCAGTCTTAATCTCTGTCTCAGCGCACCCTGGGGGTGGGGCCGGCATAGCAGGCCCAGGGATCAAACCCCTGGCCCCTGCACCTGCTTGCAGGTACTTTAATCCACTGAGCTATTTGGCTAGCCCCCTACTTTTAATGTGTGTGTGTGTGTGTGTGTGTGTGTGTGTGTGTGTGTGGCCAGCTCAGCCCACCCTAGGGGTGGGCTTGGCATGGCATGTGGTGCCAGGGATCAAACCGCAGTCCCTGTGTGCTTGCCTAAACTTGCCTACGCAGGTGTTTTAGACTGCTAAGCGATCTCACCAGCCCCTGATTTAAATTTTTTTTTTTTTTTTGGCGGAACTGGGGATTGAACTCAGGCCCTTCTCCCTGGCCCCTTAAATTTAAACATACTGTGGTTCTAAGGGGATTCCGAGGCCCTCTCAGGATGCATCATCAAACACGTTTACTTTCTTTCTTTCCCTCCACAACTTCTAACAATCATGACACCATCTTTATTTTTATTATTCTCTTTTGTGTGTGTGTGTGTGGATCTGGGGATTGAATTTAGGGCCTTGTGCTTGCCAGGGAAGCGCTTATTCTACTGAGCCATCTCCTTGACCCCAGTATTATTATTTATTTTTTTTCCCTGTATTTTAGGGAAAGGTCTACAGGGTGTTCAGGGTTTCACTACTAGATCAGACTCATAGTGATTCTCCTGTTTACACCTCCCAAGTGCTGGGATTACAGGTGGGCGCCACCTCGCCTAGTCTCACACACCATCTCAGCGCACCCTGGGGGACAGGGCCGGCATAGCAGGCCTGAGGCATCGAACCCCCAGCCCCTGTGCCTGCTTGAAGGTGCTTCAATTCGCTGAGCTATTTGGCTGGCCCTACCATCTTTATTATTCACCCTACGATGACATCACCTTTCCTTCACAAGCAAAATGACGCGTGACTTCTTTTGAACCATACCTAAGATAAGTTGAAGTTTTTATATTCTCGAATAGAGAATAAAAGTTTGTACTACTACTGCTGAGACAAGATATCATGTCTGCATCTTGTCCTTTGAATAACTACTAAGAAGACAACAATATGCACTGTATTAATTGTTGTAACCATCCTACTAACTTGTTCTGAAACTGTTTCATTGCTATTTTCTTATTAAAATGAATAAAGATATATCTAATAGCTTTTTACTTCTATTGAAATGCTTTTAATAATGAATCATCAGAGATTATATTTCATATTTCATTCCAATAATACCCTCATCTTACACTTAAAAAAATCTTAAATACATTTATCACAGTTTCTGTACTTAAGTGAAAATTCTTTTTTTTTTTTGCGCAACTGGGGATTAAACTCAGAACCTTGTGCTTGCCAGGCAAGCACTTATTCTACTGAGTCATCTCCCCGGCCCCTAAGTGAAAATTCTTAACAGTAATTCTTCTGGCTTGCAACTAAGGCATCTATAGTCCAGATACTAATGAATACTTACATTTACACAGACACACACATTTTTATGTAATTGGTATAAGGTCTAACTATACAGCTCAAACTTGTAGTGATCCTCCTGTTTTCGGCCTCCCCAGTGCTCGGATTATAGGCATGTGTCACCATGCCCAGTCTCAGTGGCTGGCTCAGTGCACCTGAGGGGTGGGGTCAGAGAGGCCTGTGGTGCTGGGGTGTGAACCCTAGTCCCTGTGATTGCCTAAGGAGGTGCTTAGTTCACTGGGTTATCTTTTTTTTTGTTGTTCCTGGAATGCCTTCAGGGCACGATGGCCAGCGGGAGAGTTGTGAGGTTCCAACTCCAGCCACCTGAGGCTGACAGCTTTGTGGAAGCAGCCACTTAAAGGACTGAGCTAGGGCCAGGCCCCCCATTTCAGCAGTTTTCATAGCCATTAATAGTATCTCAGATTAAACTACTATGAGAGTTTTGCCTACTTATATTGTATAGAATTATATCTATCAATTACAATTTGACAAATACTGACAACTAACAGTAAAATGGGCCAAGGTTCATATTTCTGATTTGCTTACCTTTTTGGGATACTAACAAAAGCCTGTTCTCATAGCAAACCGGGACAAATGTCTTTTAAGCTAGGAACTGTTGCCTATGCTTCAAATCTAGCCTGCTGCCTATTTTTTGTAAATAAACTAACTGGAACAGACATCCTCTCCTCTTCACCTTAAACATTTTGTCCACGGCTGCTTTTGTCCAAAACTATGAAAGTGAGTAGATGAAATACAGAATGTGTGGCTGGTAGAAGTTAAAATATTTACAGTCCAACCCTTTACAGAAAGATGGCCACACCCTAGCTTAGGAAATGAAAGCAGGCATCATGTTAAGCAAAATTTTACCTTTAAAGTGGCTTGAGCACCTGGGCTATCATCTTGACTACAAAGCACCAGAAGTGATTCCAGGCCAAAGACAGCATCTTGCTCCAGTGCCAAGAGATCTGGAAGAAGGCACCAAGATTTGGAGTGGTCAGCACAGGTTTATGTATGTTTATGTGTGCAAATACACACATACACACACACATGCATTCTTATAAGAACAAAAACACTGAGTCACATGTAAGAAACACTACCCTTCCTGGGAAAGGTATATGCAGCATCATTCATGACATGTAAAGACTATCTTCAGACTTGGTTATTTCTACCACTTTGTTGGAGAATATAAAAATATATACATTAATCAAAGTCACAAAGCTTTAAAGCAAAACTGAAACAGCATCACCTGAACTTAGCTAGGGAAATATTAACAACAGAAAACTATGCTATATGTGTTAATGTTTTTTTTGGCAGAACCGGGGATTGAACTCAGGCCCTTGTGCTTGCTAGGCAAGTGCTTAGCTTAACTGAGCTATCTCCCCGGCCCCTTGTGTTAATGTTCTTAATCAGACTTAAATTATGCAGGCCCATTTTTACCTCATATAAAATAGTTTTCAGCTCTAGGAAGACTCCATATAATCTCATGAATGTTTTCAGTCTGGCCTGAAAAAACAAACCCTTTAGATATTTTCATTTAAGAGCAGTACCTGACATCTTTTCACTACCATAGGGATTCAATCCCTCTGGAGATTCTAGGATGCTATGAATGGCCTAGTTAACTGTATTTAGGTTAACCTATGCCAGTGGTCAGAACATATAGTAGTAGTCTTCAATATTATATATAAAAAACATTCTTTTTGTATCTTGTATGCCCCAGATAAAACAGACTTAATTACTCAAATCAGAACAAACATGTAACTTTCAAATGTGTCCTCAGTTGTGTAAAAACATGGCAATGAGTGTAAAGACTAGTGAAGGGCAGGGTGCAGAAAAAAACAGGTGCTAGAAACAAAGGGTGCTGAAGGCCAGTGGGGATAAGGAGTATTCGCTTGTGATTCTTGCCAAGGAACAGAAACACACTGTCCAAAATGCAGTTTCTGTTCTTCAATGAAGGCATGAAAGTTTTTAAGTCTTTAGGTAAAAAAAACCAAAAAACCCCTTAGGACAAATAAAAATGTGCATTATTTTCTTTGCATGTCTTCCTAGATTATGCAAATCAACTTAATGCTACATATATCTAAGAGATGAATTTTGTCAAAAGCAATGCACATTGTTTTATAATTTATTTGTGTCTAAGAGAAACAATCTGTTCTTCAAGCACCTTCACAATAAGAATAAAACCTCCTGGGTTTCTCTATCGGTGAACACACTATTTCACACCAGTGGGATAACCATACATGCAAAGGCAAGCAGAGGGATGAAACAGGCAATGCTCCATAAAACCTTTCAACTGCACAATCTCTCACAGTCCCAAGGTCTTTAGATTTTTATTACTCTTCATAAGAAATTAAGTAGCTTTGAGAAGCGAGTTCTAAGAACACTTCAGCAGGAAGCAACTGTAGATCAGTGCACACAGGCTGAAGATAAGCAAATAAAAGTTCACACAGAATTCTGTCCATGCTCCAATTTAAAGCTCATGCATAACACCATTCCTGAGTAAATTTAAAACCTTTTTAAATTGTTTATTAGTACATGTTTACGGTACATAATGATTTACACTTATGTTGAGCAGCTGACATATCCATCCAACATTTTTTTTTTTTTTTTTTTTGGAGACAGGGTGTCACTAGGCAGGTCAGGCTGGCCATGAGCTCACTTTGTAGCCCATGCTGGTCTTGAGCTTGCAACGATCCTCTACCTCTGTCTTCCAAGTGCTGATTACAGGTGTGTGCCATCACGCCCAGCCTAACACATTTTAATTCTTTTTACCTCCTCTTGCATCCTGCCCCCCATCTCCTAGTACCCTTTAATCAGCAAAGACCTATCTCCTTAGTTCCCTTTATCTGTCTTGTATTTTGCTCTTTAAATTGTTTACATTTTGGGTTCCTCATATAAGAGAAACTATTAGACATTTTAACTTGTGTGTTTAATTTTACATTATTAAAAATGCATCCATTTTTCTTTTTCTTTCTTTTTTTCTTTTCTTTTCCTGTCTGTCTGTCTGTCTGTCTGTCTAGGTTCCACAGGGTCTTACTACATAGATCAGACTTGTAGTGATTCTCCTGTTTTCAGCCTCCCAAGCACTGGGATTACAGTGGTGTGCCACCACGCCCAGTCTCAACTGCCCTCTCAGTGTGCCCAGGGATCAACACCTGGGCACTACACTCTGCCTCAGCATGTGCTTTAATCCGTATTTTTCTACAAATTATTCAAGCTTATCCTTCTTTACAGCAGAGTAGCACCCCATTATACATAAACACCAGATTTTTTTTACTCATCTGTTAATGGGCACATATGACACTTCCACTATTTATTTGTTATGAATTATGCTGCTATAGACATGGGTATGCATATAATATGTAATTACGATATAACATGCAATATGATGTCTTTAAGTATCTGGGAAGATACTTAGAAAGGGACCAGCTGGGTCAAACTGAATTTTTATTATTTATATGTTGTCTTTTTGAGACAGGATTTCACTATGCAGTTCAGACTGGCCTTGAACTAGTAGTACTCCTCCTGCCTCAGCCTCCTGAGTGTTGGGATTACAGGTATGCACCACCACACCTGGCTTGAATTTCTATTTTTATAAACTTACCTTTTTCTTGACAAGAGACAGTTATATTAGTTAGAACTCTTACTCCATGAGCTGCAATGCCCCTGTTATTATGGTAACAGCACTCCTGGGCTAATTTGACTAAATCAGAGGATCTTGGAGAGGAACTTACATTTCCTAAACAAGCAGAGAAAAGCAGTACAGATTACAATTCATTTCCATAGTAAAAAGAATTTCAGCTTACAAGAAATTTTTTAATAATAAACTTTAATATTAAAATTTTCTACCATCTCAGGATTAATATATATCACCATTTCTCTCTCTTCTATCCACATACTTAAAATATGCAATTATTACCAGTTTTGTATTGACTAAGATCTTAAATCAATAAAAAAGGGCTGGCCAGATAGCTCAGGGACTAAAGTGCCTGCTTAGGCAGGCAGGGGGACTTGATCACTGGCATGCCATGCTGGCCCTGCCCCAAGGCAGTAAGACTGGGTGTGGGGGTACATGCCTCTAATCCCAGTGCTTGGGAGGCTGAAAACAGGAGGATCACTATAAGTAGGATGTGTATACATAAAAATAAATACATAAATAAATAAAATCAATAAAAGGCTTTCCTATAAAAATTATAACCACAACTAAGAAAAAGTACAAAAGCCAAAATGACTATAGACTGTATCTTGGGAGTGTTAATGGACTCTGATTAAAAAGGATGTCATGGGGGCCGGGGAAACAGCTCAGCAGAATAAGTGCTTCCCTGGCAAGCACAAGGGCCTAAGTTAAATCCCCGGTTCTGCAAAAAAAAAAAAAAAAAAATTTTTGCAGATGACATGATTCTCTACAAAAAAGACCCCCAAAATGCCACTAAAAGATGTCACAGTGGGCTTCTTGTCAGAAAAAAAAAAAAAAAAATTCCTTCCAAAGAAAAGAGCAATAACTATGTTTGCTTTTACACATCTCAAACTGCTGCTGTGTGTTTATATCTTTAAAAAGTTTTGATTATTCCTACTTGCAGACTATCCCTATTTTACAGAAAAAATCAAAGATTTTAAGTATGCTGCTATCAAGGGCATAGATCTTATTAGTTGGGCCCCACTTTTGTGCTTTCTACGGTACCTTAAATTCCATTCCATAGACCACAGCAACTTTTAAAATTCATATTTGAAATTTTATGAACTAAGGCTTCTGTTGTGAACAAGGTATAGGAGAAACTTTTAATTATAATCAAGTGAGCTTCAAGAAGAACCAGGACATTTAAGCCTGTTCAGCTTCTTAGAAGAATCTCTCACTCCTTTGCTCTGTTTATATTTCTATGATCCTTATTAGCGTTACCTCGGTTCTCATACTCAATGTGACCACTTTTGAGGCGGAAGGGAACACTATTAATCACAGCAGGCAAAAGCCAAGCCTAGTCCAGAAAGTAAAAGACCTTATTCACTTCTGGTTTAACATAAAAGCACTAGCTTCAGTGATTTTTAAGGTTTTCAAAACATTACAGGGGCTGGGGAGATAGCGTGGAGTCTAAGTGCCTGCCTGGCAAGCTCAAGGGCCTGGATTTGATCCCCGGTACCACAAGCTGTGCCAGCCTTGAGCCAAGCTGGCCATGGAAGCTGGGCATGGTGGTGCACCCTGTAATCCCAGCGCTGGGGAGGCTAAGACAGGAGGATCACTACAGTCTGAGCTGCCAGCCAGATCCTGTGTCAAATAAATAAATACATAAAAATATTTTTAAAAATTACAAAGATGAAGTTATATATTCATTTTCTTTCCCAAATTATGGAAGTATATTTCTTCCATTCTTTTTCTTGCTTCTGTGATGTGGGCAATGTGCATTTATCTATAAATCTGCAAGTATGTTTTATAGCATTGTTAAGGCTCATCACAGGAAACTTTTGGGGGGGGAAACAGAAAAAGTTAAAGAAAACAAAAATTTCCATAATTTCCACAAATCAGCATGAATTTACTGTAATTTTTTGAAGCATTATTTCAGAATCCCTTTAATGTACACCCATATATAATTTTAAAATTATATATAATTAGGATATATAGATACTGGTCAACAGAGTATTATTTTTAATGTACAACATGTTTGAGTATTTTTCTGTGTTAATACTTTAAGGGATGAGATTATTATTTTTATTTTAATTTTGATTTACTTAAAAAGTTCTCTAAGATAAAATCATACGGTTCCAATAGTAGAACAAGCAGAAAACGGTAAAAGCCTGGCAAGGTAAGTCTCCCTCATCTACCCAATATTACTAGTTTCTTCATTTCTATTCCAGAGACTAAAATTTTGCAAGTGTATTTTTCTTTTTATATATTATCCCAGACCTTATGATTCTCCTTTTGATGGACCTTTTTATGATGCTATTACTTCTTCTACTGATGGGTGACATTTTACTTTTACAAAGAATGATGCTACAATGTAATCTTGTACATAATCACTTCTTAGTTTTAATTATTTAAGTAGGATAAATTGTTAGAAGTGGAATTTCTGGGCATTTATATCTTAATGAATATTTCGAATTTGCTTATGCACAGATCCCATAATTTACATTCACGCCAGCAACAGGAGTGCCTGTTTATCCACATCCTTGTCAACAGAGCATGTTGTCCAACCTCTGAAACACTGCCAACCTCTTGGATTAAATTTGTGTTGTTTTTTTTAATAGTAAACTTTTTATATGGATAAGAGCCATTTATTAGAGATAATTTAGACATAATAAATTTAAAGTTTTTACAGACTACTTCTGGTTATACTGAAAAATTTTAATGGATGGAAACACAAACATTTACTATTTTGTGAGTAATCTTTGTAAAATCCTTGACTTCTATCTTTCATGAACATTACCTGGTTTAACTGTAATTCCATATATTAACTACATTTTTAACACACTTCAATGGAAGAACAAACAAATATCCAGCTTGAGAAGTTCAGAGCAAAGGCCCGAGTTCAATCCCCAGTTCCGCCAAAAACAAACAAACAAGAAGTTCTTAGCCTGACACAAATTGCTTATACATGTGTCTGGAATTAAAAAATAAAGAAAAAGCCATCATTTATCCAGGTTTATTTGGTATTAAAAAAAAAAAAAAAGCAAATAAGGGGCAGGTGATACAGCTCAGTATAAGGTCCTGAGTTTGATTCTGGGCATCAAAAAAGCCTCCCAAGTAGGAGGAACCCTTGGATTCAGGCACAGGTGCCTCATCTGTATGACTTTGAATAAGTAACTTTTGTGAGTCTGCATTAATACTTAAAAACTCTCTTACATGTGGCTCACATGAAAGGCTATCTCTGAGAAGGCTCTTATAAATTATAAGAAGCTGGGGATACAGCTTAACACCATAAACTTCTGCCTAGCAA